AAAGAATCCTCTGTTACCTAGGATATATTAAATGCTCAGATAAAAAAAAATTCTCTTTAAGCCAGGTGTGGTGGCGTAGGCCTCTCATTCCTGCACTCTGGGAGGCCGAGGCAGGAGGGTAACAAGTGTGAGCCCAGCCTGGGTGACTTAGTAAGACCTTGTATCAAAAAGAAAAAGTAAAGAAAGGGCTGTGGAAGTAGCTCTGTGTGAAGGACAGGGTTCAATTCCCAGTACCACAAAAGGACAAACAAAAACAAAAGCAAAATCAAGGAACAACTGTAAGTTGATTTTCCCCAAACAATTTATGTTACTATCCCTAGCTGAATTATAGTGCTCGTTTGGAGTCACACTGTAAGAATAACACTAGTATAAACACAGCGTATATGCTTGATAATACTCATTTGAGAGTTTGTTTGAAAATGAGTTACAGACCCAGGTAAGTGGTTGATGCTAAGTATCTGTGTTTTGTAGAATTGAGTCTCTTTCCAAGATTTAAAATTTCCAAGATTTAAATCACACACTTTAAAAAAAGTTGGCAATGAATTTTAACAGATCTGAAAATACTGCACATCTAAGAAATAAGTATGTGGCTCACGTGTCCTGGGTCCCTGCCCATGTGCTGAGAACTCCCCGTCTCCAGCCTCGCCTAGGACAGTCGGCCTTTGCACCTCGTCCTTTGATCTGGTGCCACACATACTAAGCTCTCAGGTATCCGGAGGGAAAGGCATTTCAAGTGACTCATCCTTGGGAGGGCTGGAGCACTAGTGACCCGAGAGTCACCCAGCTGGGAAGGGCTCTGAAGCTTTCCACTCCTCACTTGTGGGCTCTGACCTTGCTGCAGCTGTGCCCTGACCACTTCCCTCTCCCCCGTCTCCCTCCTGTTCTCCCACTTAGTGTTGCTGTCTCTCCTTTGGTGTTGTGTCTCTGCTTGGAGATCACTTTGCCCAGGAAGTCTCAGGCCCATGAGGATGGAGCGTGGAGGCCTGTGTGGAGCTCTGACACCTCCGGACAAAGTGGTTAAGAGCATGGACTTTGGAATCAGAGCAGTGGCGTTCACACCCCTGTGCCTCTGTCTGTGAACTGTGTGAGTTGGGCAGGTGAGACAGCAGCCACTTGCAGCTTTGTTTAAGCACTCCACGGGCTGATGTGTGGTTTCCAAGCTGTGTGAAATCACTTCTCTCTGCAGGGATTAACAAACCTAGATGGTGACATCCGCTGCTTGTGAACTTGGTTAGTGTGAATCAGTCCCTGAGAGACAGATCAGCCTTTCGAACTCTGAGAAGCAGGCCTCGAGGTGCTGCCAGGTCCTGCCCGAGTCCCCGCCTGGTCCCCGTTTAGTGTTTCTTGTGGTCCTCTGTCACTTGAGATGGAAATACAGAAACTGAGTGTTGAGTTTGGTGCATTGCTGCGTGGTTGGGAGGGGCCGTATGTTTCCTTTTCAGCAAGGTACTGGTGATGTATCTGTCATTTGCACACCAGGTGCCATACAACTTTCATAGAGGGGACACAGGATTTCAGTGTTCTCTAGCCCCTCACTGCTCCTGGGAGTCCGATGGAGCAGCAGGAAGGTCATCTACAGTCTCTGCCCTGCTCCCAACGGAAGGGAGAAATCTTGTTTCATGGAAGAGAGAGATAAAACTGAATGAAAAAGAGACCTTTGCCCCTGGAATTTGAAGTGATATATTTTTGAACATTTGAAGAGGGACCTTTGCATACTTCTCATTGTCAGAGAGAAAACCAATGTAAATGGTTTTGGTTGGGAGAGAGGAGAAGCTGAGGAGAATTTTTCTCTCTCTTGGTTGAAATGCAGCAGCAGCGTTCTATTAATATGAGCTCTATTTCATTAAGAAAAACCCAAAAACAAACCAGATACAGTATATGAAATGATAAATGTTTAGATATTTTTCCAGTCTCCTAGAGTCATGTTGGCCACACCTACCACCACCACCACCACCACCACCACCACCACCACCACCACCACCACCATCATCACCATCATCATCATCGTCGTCATCGTCGTCATCATCATCTTCATCATCTTCATCATCTTCATTTTGTGATTCGCTTTGATGGAGGCATTCCAGTGCAGCCAACCTAGTTTTGCTAGCAATAACTGCTCATTTCCCACTCATTTCGTCAGTTCCTGTATTTCTAAATTAAATCACATAGAGTGAAAGATATGATCTCCACAAGAAGGTTTGGGGACAAACAGGACTTCTTGGAGACTCAGCTGCAGCCGGCACGCCCTGGGTGGTGCGTCCCAGCCCTCCGTGGCCTATGTAGGGCAGGCGGCCACACACTCCCCAGGTGGGGAAGCGGGTGGCTCAGCCGGCTGCGGGCTGGGTGCCAGCGTCCCGGGTGGGCCTCCTTTGAGTTGATCACAGGGAGTAGGGTGCGGGCGGGACTGGCTTAGGCAGGCGGGCTCACGAGAGCAGGCCAGATGTTCACTTCAAAATCTTCAGAACATTCCCCAAACACAGAATCTGTTTCCCTCTGCGGGTGAGCAGGACCGTCCCGCCTGCTTTCATGTCTAAACAGGTCGACTTCTGTACCGGAACCGTGCAGCCACCTGGCTTCTATTTGCTTAGAGGTGAAAACTGCCTTTCCGGGGTCATCCAAGCCGGGATGGAAAATGTAACTTCTGCTTTGGTGCCACCAAGCGGTCACTTTGGGAATGCCACTTTCAAGAAGATGGCTTGCCCAACGCATAGGGACTGAAGCAGTCTGCGAGGAGAGTTGAGCCTATAGCTCTGTGGTGAGCCCTTGCCTAGCATGCGCAGAGGCCCTGGGTTCAATTCCAGTCCAGCATCTGGGTCCTTAGCTTTGTAAATATTAGAAACCTAGTTTTTCAGTGCATTTGGGGTGGTTCGGTTTTCCAGGGATAGCTCACGCTCACAAAACTTACAAGGGACACTCGATAAGTCAAAATGCCAATAGGTTGCTTTACAATTGGAAACATGCGTTTCCAATTGTTGTGGAGCAGTTTATTTCTACCTGTAGGAAATGTTTTGGGAAGACAGATTACGCTGAGTAGATTCTTTGGTGAGGTTGTGGTGTGTTCTCGCGCATGCGTGCTGTTTAATGTTAATACTCGTGAGCCGAGACCGTCTTCAGCTCTTTGGGGATTTTGTGACCCTGGTGGGGGGCATTCACGTTCCTGAGAAGTGCAGAGGCCCGGATCATCCTGATGACAGAGTAACCTGATCTTTGAAATTGGCGAATTCTTTTGAAACTCTGTGCAGAGCATCTGAGAACCCTTTCTGCCCTCAGGGGCCAGAGCAACAGCAAGGCCAATACTGTAAACCTGTGGATTCAGCTTTAATCTTCTGAGAACCTGTTGGGTCATCGTGACTGGCATTTGGGTGGTCCCCAGACTCCCCATTTGCAGGTTTTTGCTTAGGGGGAGCTGGTACACTCATTGCATCAGAATTTCTTAGAATTTCACTCTCAGAGGGAAACATGTTTTATGTGTTGGTGAGTCTTTCCCTGATTGCTGGTTAAAATGAATATGCAAAATCCTTAATGACTTTGGCATAGATTCCCAATAGAAAACAGTGCGTGGCTGAATCCTGGGATTGTTATGTCAGGAAGAATTCCGATTGCATCCGAGTCTGGAGAGCCGCGCACTTGCCTCAGCACCCTGGCCTCTCATCCTTTTGGGAGCTCAGCCGCCTCAGCTCTCTGCTGCAGCTTCCTCCAGACCTGGTCCATACTACGGATGAGACAGAGCCCGCAACCGGGGGGCTCGGACCGGGGATCTTTACAGAGGTTGCAGATTGGTGACCTGTGTTTAGAATCGTACTTCTTTTATTTTTTGCCAGTATTTTTACTTCCTGGACTGAAAATTCAGGAAACGGATACAAACTCTGAGTATCTAGTTCCTTTCCCAAGCAGCGGAGCTGGCCAAGCAGGGCTGCATCCCACAGGGCGCTCAGTTCCTGGAGTGGTCTAATGAGGGCAGCCCTCGGGTTGTCCACAGAGCCACCTTCCCTTCCACGCCTTTACCTTACAGCTCAGGGTGGGGAGGTGGTGGGTGCCTTTTGGTGCACCACAAAAACAAAGCCACGGAACCAGCACGGGGAGGGGGTGTGTGTCAGGACTGGGGCTCCCTGTTCTTGTCTCTGCTGTCTCTGGGGAATCCCTTCCTTGGAGCTGCTCCTACCCGCTTTTCTTTAGGGCTCTGCCTTCCCCAGGATGTCACCTTTGAATTTGTCCCTGTGCTTCCAAGAGGCGTGGGAAGGGAGTGTGGTTGAACATATAAACTTGAGGATCACGAGACCTGGTTTTGAAAATCCCAGCTGCGCTTTTTGTAGAGTTCAGTTCTCTTATCCGTAAGATGAAGGTGATAGTGGCCGCACAGTTCGGTATGAATATTAAGTGGCACTTTGTACATAAAGGATCAAGCAGAGGGTTGATACTTAAACACTACATCAAGTGGGGCCTTGGTCTCTCTCCTCTATCAAGGCATAATTCTCTCCTTTCTCCATGGGCTGGGTGAAGCTGAACTGTCACGGAAGCTTCTGGCTACTCATACTTATTTACTCTTATAATAAAGCCAACTGTTTTATGTTTTTTTCTCCTTTTTGTAATATTCAGCCTTTCTCTTTCTCTCCTCTCTCTCCTTCCTTCCTTTCTCTCTTCCTTCCTTCTTTCCTTTCTTTCTTTACCGGGGATCGAACTCAGGACCTTGTGCTTGTGAGGCAGGCACTGTGCCACTGAGCTAAATTCCCTGGCCCCAGCCTTTCTTATCTGTACAGACCTCTCTCTCTCTCTTTCTCTCTCTCTCTTTTTTATAGACACAGCTCTATCATAGATAGTCCCATATGAGGATAAGGGATGACAGGTGAATTTATTTTGCTTTAGGTAATTCTTTAAGAAGAGATGTCTGTGCAATACTTTTGTGTACTATTGTGAAAGAAACCACATTAGCTTCCACAACAATCTGTTGGAATTCCTTCTGAATATAGATCTACCTTTTGCCTTTCATTGTATGTTTGCAGAAATAGGACCAAGATCAAAAGCTGGAAAGACGTCAGCAGAAAATATTGGTACTGCCAAAGGGACACTTCGTCTGAGGTCGAAAGGTCCTGCCACTGTGGAAGAAATGGTACGTTATGTGCATTTGGTTCTCACTCTGCTTGGAAACCTACAGTTATTCATGTTCATTAAAGCTGGAAAAGCAAAACCATAAAGTTAAATAAAATGCCATTTGTTCCCATCAAAGCATGAACTATGTAAAAAAAATTAAAATAAAGCAATCAAAGCTGAGAGTCAAGAAAAAGTTTTGGAGAATTGAGCTTCAGGTCATAGGGAAAAAAGTAACAACAGCAGGCATCTCTGGGTCTCTGCCAGCTGGGTACTGTTGGATTGTGTTTTGCTTTCCCCCACCTTCTGTGGACTTCATTTTAGTGACTGTGGAGTAACAGTAAATTTACTGGATGACCTGGTCACCTTCCTGTTCTGTACCTACTTGTTGTTCTAAATAAGTTAATCTAGAGAAGTGTTTTCTGAAAGGATAGCTGGGAAGCCTAGCAAATTGGGCCTGCTTTAAGGTAGTTAAGTTTATTGCTTGGCTTCTTTTCTTTTTTGTACCGGGGATCGAACTTGGGACCTTGTGCTTGCGAGGCAGGCAACCACTGAGCTAAATCCCCGGCCCTGTTTCTTTGTATTTTTTTTAGAATAAGATTATATATTCAATAATAATTGAAATTCATTTTTAAAGAATTGTATACAAGAGCTCTTAATTTTCTACCAGTAGCATGTAGTATCACTACTATTTGCTTTGTTAAAGGAAAAAGAATATCCCAAGAATATTAAAAGAATTAAGTGGTAATAAAAATATGACAGTCACAATTCAAATTTATTTTTATTTCTGGAGTTTTACATATTCTTTGAGTTTAAGTGATTTTAAAAACAATTGTTTTGCATAACACAATTTACAGTTGTTTGGGGGTTTGTTTGAAAGTTAAAATTTGTAGCCAAATCATTATTATTGGTTTATATTAATTATTGCAAAATCTTAAATAATCAAAGTATTCTAAATGTCAGGAAAAAAAAAAAGAAAAAAAAAAAGAAAAGGGTTTGGAGCCAGGAGTAGAGATAGGTAAGGAGCTTTTGATAATGGGAGGTTATGTTCCTGAAGTCCAGCATCCTTGGGAAATCTTAGTCATCTTGAGCTTTCTTTATCACCCCCGCCACCCCCATCACAGATCCTGAGGACTCGCCTGTAACACACCAGAGTCCTGCAGCCCTGGCCGCCTTGCCTTTTGCTGGCCCCAGGCTCCCTGGTGCCATCTTGGACTTCACAGTTGCCTGCTCAGCCTCTCTCTGCTCTCCCTCCCGCTTTCATCTGTACTCAGCCTGGCCCAGGAGTGGTCCTCTAGAAACACAAACACAAGTGAGGGGATCACTCTCCTGTTCCTGCCCTCCCGTGTCACTCCAAAGAAAGCCAGCATCCTCAGAGTCCCCAGCACCAGCTGCCTGCACATTTCTCCTCCGATCCCATCTTTCCTGCTCTTGCCTGGCTCCGTGTGCTTCAGCCACGTGGGCTTCTTCACTGTCCTCAACCTCTCCGGAAGTTTCCCTGCCTCAGGATCTTGGTTCTACTGTCGCCACCCATGGCTGGCTGCCTTGACTTCAGCTTCCTGCCCACACACAAGCTTCTCTGCCAGACCTTCTCTGGGTGTCCTGTACGCACCTCGGTTCACTCTTCCCCTCCTGCCTCCCAGTCTTCATTTTCCTCAAAGCACTGAAGACCCAAATCTTTGTTTGATTTGATCTGTTGTGTTCCTCCTCTGCTCTGTGTCTTGCTGACCGCACCTAGATACTACACGTTGAGTCAGATGAACTCGAATCTTTGCTGAGTTAATGAATAAATACTGGATTTGATTTAGCTCGAGAAAAGCAAGGGTTTCTAATTTGAGTCTGTGTAGAGATCAGCATTTGAGTGCAAAACACCAGGAGAAGAGCTAAATGGGGGCAGAAAGGGGGAGAAGAGCACAGCAGGGTTGGGGGGCAGCCTCGGGTCCCTTCTCACCTTGGAGAAGGCGGTGACGTGGTCCTGGGGCTCCTGAGGCTGGGCTCCTGCGGCCACGCACTGGCCCCTCTGGTCTCTGTGGGTGAAAACTGCCTCAGGACACCATGTGTTTGAAGAACAAGAGGACGGGAGTTTAGAGCCCAGCTAGGGGATCATGAGAGCAGGATCCCAACCTTGTTGGTGACAGTGTCCAGCATCAGGCGTGGGCCGTCTGTGAGAGCTGACACCCACGGGCCCAGGCTGTCCTTCGGGGTGCCCGAGTCGGACTCTGAGTCGGGGAAGGAAGGACGGATGTGGAGGTGGTGGCAGCTAGGAGACCTGGCCGAGTCGAACGCATCTTGAGAAGGAGATCTGAAGAGGTCCGTGAGACAGACCAGGGCGGCACCAGCTGCCCATTCCAAAGCTTTACACTTCCGGTTGCCCAGCGCGCTGCCTGGTGTTCGGCTGAAGGCCCGTGCTGTTCCTAGACCGAATGATCAAGCCGAGGAAGAAGTGAGGAATTTGTCAGGGAATGGAAACAAAGTGAGAGGGACTGGTCGTGGGAGCTGTGCTAGCCCTGCTGTCTGCCGGAGACTCAGGAAAAGTGAGCAGACTTAAGGCAGTTTGCAGAGGAGGATGGGGGTCGGGGGGCCCCTCGCCCCTTCAGGAGCACACAGTCACCCCATAGCTGACACAGGAAGCGTTTGTCAGGCACCTGCTGCATGGTAGGTTCAGGGGTGGAAAAGAGCAGTTTAAGATCTCTCTGGGGAGGTAGGAAAGATTCAGAAATAAACATCCCCAAATCCACCCTATTTGCATAGCCTGTTTAATTAAACAGGTCACTTAAAAGTAGCTCATCATGAAAGTGAAAAGCTGGTTGGGTGCTAATATTAAATATGATACAAATGACTTGCAATCTTGTTTCAAACACTGAAGGATTTGAAGGATTTATTGGATTTGAAACTGAGGCTGCTCCACTTGCATACCCTGAACTCGATTCACTGCATTTTTTGATCTGGGGCCAGGCCAGGTGTTGGTGACACAAAAATGAATAAAGACCTTGATCCTCCTTTAAGGGAAGAGAGGGATGAAAAGGAGCTTGATAGAAAGAGGTTTCCGGATACGTAGTGTCACAGAGATGGGGTTGATGAACTGGTGGGGAGAGCAAGCAGGTTGTGAGTTTCCCTCCCAAAGAAATAAACGATGGTGCTGGTTGGAGGTGGGGAGAGAAGTGGCCCAGACACAAAACCACCGTGGGCTGGGGGAGCTGGTAAGGTGTCCACACGACTGGGTGTGGGGTGGCAGGGGGACCAGGGAATAGGCTGGGTGGGTGTGAAAGGCCCGTGGGTCACTGGGAGTCAGGTAGGAATGGCGGGGGGAGCCTCACCGTCAGTCTTGAGTTTTTGGAAAATTCCTTGGTTCCAGGGATGGGTTGTTGGGCAGGAGGGGTTGGGAAGGTGATACTAGGGAGGCAAAGTGAGAAACCTCTGCCCGTAAGGAAAAACGAGGACTAGACCCAGGCTTACAGCTGTGGTGGAGAAGAGGCCATAGCTAGACCATGAGCTTGTGCGGGAGGTAGAATGGTAAGGGGTGGTGGTCCGTGCAGGAGGAGCGCTGATTCGTGGAACCACTCACAGCACGGCTGGGTTACACCTGAGGGCCTTGGCACGGCCCGGCGCTGGACAAGATACGTAAACTGCAGCGAAGCCAAGAACGATGTATACATCTATTATTATCATTCCGTTCTTGTACATAAAAATGTAGGGCCGGGGATTTAGCTCAGTGGTTCCACTGCCTGCCTCACAAGTGCAAGGCCCCAAGTTTGATCCCCGGTACCCCCCCCCCCCCAAAAAAGTGAAGGCCTGGGAATATAGCTTAGTGGTGAGTGCTTGCCTCATATGTACGCGGCCCTGGATTCCATAATTGAAAAAACAACAAAAGAAAAGGGAGACGATTGTATTGATATCCTCAAGGATAAAAAATAAATTTTTATGTGTCATAAAATACGTGATTAAAATAGATAATTTTAATGCATTTTGAGGATATAAACAAACATATAATTATGATAACATTACAAGTAGTGTGGGATTCTCACAATTTAACAGTTTAGTTCTGCATTTGGACCCATCCGTGGGTATTAAACACCTTTGGGCAATTCCTTGGTAGCTATGAAGTCATTCAAAGCCAAGCACTGAAATAATGTGGACATAGAACAGGACTTAACAAACACAAAACCAGGATTTTCAAAGAATATCAAAATATACCCAATCATTTTTTAAAATTGAAATTTCCTAACAATAGTTCCAGGAAATGTTTTAGTATCACTAGTATATGAAACCAAAACTACTTAAAAATATTTCACCATTAACTTCTTCCTTATAAAATTTCCTTTTTTGGGGTGTTTTTATAATAAACTTGATATATTAATTTGGTAATACATGTAATTTATGAAAAATACGTATAGTAAAGTTAAAAAATAGTAAGAGTGGATATTGATCTGAAATGAACAGACATTTCTCAGGCAAAGAAGTAAAAGCAACAAATAAACATATGAAAAAATTCAACATCACTGGTCATCCGAGAGATGCAGATGAAAACAACACTGAGATTCCACCTCACACCAGAAAGAATGGCTGCTCTCAAAAAATCAACCAATAACAAATGCTGGTGGGGGTGTGGAGAGAAAGGAACCCTTCTCCATTGTTGGTGGGAGTGCAGACTGGTGCAACCACTATGGAAATCAGTGTGGAGACACCTCAAAGAACTAGGGCTAGAGGTCCCATTTGATCCAGCTATTCCTCTACTGGGTATCTTCCCAAAAGAATTAAAAGAATCATATGCACCCATATTTATAGCAGCACAGTTTGTAATAGCTAAAACTTGGAAACAGCCCAATTGCCCATCAACTGGAGATTGGATAAAGAAGATGTGGTTTTTTTTTTTTTTTAAATAAAATGGAGTACTACTCAGCCATAAAGAATGAGAAACTGGAGACATTTGTAGCTAAGTGGATGCACATTGAGGCGATACTCTTAAGTGAAATAAATAGGACACACGTGTAAATACTGAATAGTTTCTCTGGTGTGAAAAACTAAAAGTGTAAATAAGAATCAAAATGTATAATTGATATTGTGAAATAGGAAGAAAATATCTAAAGGAGTAGGGGAAGTGGGAGGGGTAGGGGAAAGGAGAGAAGGGAAAAGAAAAAAATATGAGAAAAGGAAAAACATGGAAACAAAGTCTTTGTAAATAGGGAGGGGTGGAAGAGGTGAAGGGAGGGTAGGGGAATGGGGAAAAAACAAAATAAGAACCAAGATACATCATGTACAGGTACAAGATCTCAATGATGAGTGTAACTGTATTGTAGACCTAAAATGGACCAATAAACTAAATGGAGAAAAAAAAAAGAGTGGATATTGAGACGATCCATCAAGAGTTTGGAGATTTGGCCTATGCAATGAAGACCACAGTTCTAGTTCTTCTGTTGGAGCACGGGACGCCTTCAGTCTCATCGTGATTGTCATCATGAAGGCATTGCCTCCTTGCCGTCCCCTGCAACCTTGGCTGTGTACACTCATCTCAGCTCAAAGCTTAGCTGACGCCTGCTCATTCCTGAAAACCCAGCTCTTAAGCCACTTCCTTTCTGAAGTCTTCCCTGAGTCTTCGAGATACAAATTTACCTCCTGCCCCGTGGCGGCTCTGTACCTTTCACATCCTTTAAAATTGTTACAGTCATTTATTTTTACATCTGTCTCCCCATCTCGATACTTAGCTTCTTGGGAACTGAGTTCCTGGCTTTCTTTTTTTGAGTCCACAATGTTTGATGCTGACACTAAAAGTAAGATTTGCCTTATTGATGTATATTTAGTTAGACAGCTCATTCTACATAGATTTACACTAAAATGAGCTGAAGTCTGTCACCACAAACTGGCTCTAGGTCCAGTTTCCCCCTAGGTGTGCCCTGATGACCAAGAAGTTTCATTATAAAAATGTAACATCTTATTTCTCTTTTCTTTGATAAAGCCTTCTGAAACCAAAGCAAAGGCGATTGAAAAGATTGATGATCTTCTTGAATTGTATATGGGAATTCGAGATATTGATTTAGGTAAGACTATCCTGTTTGATTTTTTAAAAATTTGTATTTATTTTAAAATATTTTATTAGCACACGTTTGCAGCGCATAATGATGACATCATCTGGGGAGTTGGTGCAGGGGCAGCACAGTTACTCCCCTCCCTTGGTCCCTTGGTCTCCTTTAGTTTTGTTTTATAGATTTAAAAATATGTGAAAATAATTTCATAGAAGACACATATGAATGTTTTTATTGTCTGATGTAGCGCATTTACACTGTTTAAATTGTGCACTTTTACGATATGATATGAAAGTTAGGCACCATTTACTAGGTTTACTGAAACCTTCTGAACAAAGAATCAGAAATACGGCGAAAAAGGACGCAACGTGACGGGTGACTGCTAAGGACGTGGGGCAGCTGAACTCCTGTGTGCTTCTTAGGGTTATCATTAGGACGTCAAGGTCTTGATTTATCAATTAAGACTCTGCCAGTTGCAAATGACTAAAAGCAAAACAAACAGAAACCCTGACTCCACCTGGTTTCAGGGAAAAAAGGAGATGTCTTGGTTCCTAGAACCATGGTGTCCAGAGCTCATCTTGTCCTGAGGAACGGCTGGCTCAGTGCTGTCCTGGAAGGCACCTTCTCTGCCCTCAGGCCCCGTGGGTCCCCTGAGGGAGCCGAAATGACGACCACAGTGCTGTCTTCGTGCCTGCTGGACAGCAAGCACGGTGGGGCAAGGGGAGGTCTTTTCCAAGTCTCTCAGACAAAAGGCCCAAGATTGGCTCTGACAGCCACTCCTGGGGACAGGGACCGATGTGGGTGGTCTGGGCCTCGGGCTCTGCCTCTGGGCTGAGAGTGATGAGTCGCAGGGGCAGGGTCAGGGCTTCGGAGAGGCCTGGCTCAGCTGCCGCCTGCAGGGGAAGGCAGGGGGTTTGGGCCTGCATGGGTGCTGCACGTGTGTACACCAGAGCACGTGTGCTACGTGTGTGTGCATCTGAATCAGGTACTTATAACATTTTTTAAGTCAAGGACTTGCCTGTTTCCCTGCTGATTTTACCTGCTGTCAGGTAGAGTCTTTTTTTAGGGAATCAGCTGAATCTGCTAGGCAAGCGCCCTAACTCTGAGCTGCACCCCAAGACACCAGTTAGTGGTAGTTCAAGCTCATTCTTCCATTTTGTGTTTCCACTCATCTCCCATTTTCCTTAAGGAATTGTCAAAAGACAACATTAAAACAAATTTAGTTTAAGTTCATGGTTGGTCTGTACTCGCCGTTCTGGAGCTGGGTAACTCGAGGTTTGTAAAATAGGATGGGCGTTTGGACAGTTTGGGGTTTGGCTGTTACCTCTCCTGATCTGGAAGGTCAGGTAACAGGTGCGCGTTGGCTTGGCGAGGTGCAACTTCAGCACGACTGGCCCTGTTTTGCTTTGGTCTCTTGGGTCTCCGCAGAGCTAAGTCCACAGCGGTGGCCTCCTATCCATTTTCCTTAGTAAAGTTTATGCTTATATGTTTCTTGCCTGAACTTTTAAAATAAAATTTCTACACTGGAATGGACAGTTGAGGTCTCTAATGAAAAAATATCGATATTCTGGTTCTTTCCTTAAAGAAAAAGTATCAAACTTGCATATGCTAGGTCTTTGCTTCATGCAGACGAGAAGAGAATCGTGAGATGATTCTGTGGCTATGCAGTGTCTTACAACTTCTCTCCCCAGTGCTTTTGAATTTAGGCACATACTGGGATTTACATAAGTGACCTGGGCCTGGGACCGGTGTGCAGATGCCTATAAAAATGAGGATAAAGCGAATTCAGAAGTGCTAGTGCTCTTAAACTCAGATTAACCAGGTAGTACTTGTTGGACAGATAATGTAATTCATCTCCATTCAGTTGAGAAGTTTACACATAGTATAACTATAGGAATATTATAAGACTCAGGGATAACTTAGCAATTGCTGGATCTTGATGAGCTCAAATTTAAGAGAACCACGATTTTCAAAGGTGGGAACTTAGTGAACTGTAGGACTCAGTTTTAGGTACAGGCCTTATAATTGCTTACATTTAAATTGGAAATAATGAAATTAGTTTTTCCCTTTTGTTATTAAAAACATATGTATGTACAGGGTAGAGTGCTGGATAAATGTGCAAATTATTGTAAATGAATAAAGAAATAGTTCTTTAAGAATGAAGTTTCTAATGCACTCATATTCTGGGCATTAACTGTTCCTCACAAATCCTTCTGAATTAACCAGCAATCTCTTTGTAAGGTTACTTAATTATTAGTGTCAAATCCCTCCAGTTGACATGAAGCCATTACCATTATACTTGATTAGCAGCATGATTAGTGACTTAGGCAGGTGGGGTGTAAGGGATTAGTTGAAGAGTGTCACCTGCTATTAAATTAGGAATTTGTATTATTCAGACGTGATTAGCAAGAAATGTAAATCAAAATGTAAGTCTGATTTAACAGACAAATGAATAATTTACCTGTATGACTAGTTTTCTTGGCTTTCTGAAATGTTATTTTTAAATGCAAATTACATTGATATATTTAGTGTAAATGTATATAAAACATTAAAAATCATGTAGATGTGAAATTACTTAAAATAGCACACTATGCCCCATATGGACTAGGATATATTCATTATTCGTAAATGGAATATAATGCAAAAGAATTTTTGGTAGGAAGTGGCTCTGTAGGAAGTGCTTCATTTTGGTTGTAAAGTTGTGCTTTGTGAATTTTCAACCAAACCAATGTCAGTTTAAGTTGCCTTGGGATGTTATCTGTGGGGGAAAAATAGGTTCTGGAAGATGAGTCTATAAGGTCTTATATGGCTTGGTCCAACTTCCTAGGAGGGTGACCTGTAGTTTTCCTTGGGAATATTTAATGCAACTGTATAAGTTTATGTATAACTACAGTGATTTCTGATGATATCAGTTTAGGAGTTTAGAGATTATACTAGTAGCAGTTTCAGAATTTTAGAAGTTGTAATTAATCAGGGGATTCAGAAGTGTGTGGAAAGGAAATTTGGAGGGTAGTTTTTCAGTCTTTTTCTTATAGAACCAGATAATTAAAAAAAAAGTGAATGAATGATGGCTTAGTAATGACAATTACATTTCTTCCAAGGGTCATGTTTTTTTTTTTTTTTCAGTGAATGCAAAACAGTACACATTGCAAAGAGTTGTCTTTCCTAGATACTCTCCTGAGAAATATATTCTGCATCTGCTGTGTTTTTGTTGTTTGACTCATCCGAGTGTTCTTTCAATGGACTGATATTTATGAAATCTCAGGGAATGTAAGTGAGGAAGACCTTCCATGGAGTGAGACACAGCTACAGATTTCATGGTTAGCCATAGTGAGGACTGGTCCTTATCTAAATCCTGATGTTTGCCATTTTGGAGGTTTGAAAACAGATTCAGAGAAGTTTGTAACTTGCCCAGGCAGTGAACAAGTGAAAAGCTAAGATTTAATTCTGACCTTGATACCAAGGTTTTAAACCCTGGAGTAATTTTTTATCTCTAAATTACTTAAAAACTTAAATGGCAATTATGTATTGGTCTATATCACCAAAATAGGTTTTTTATTAATAATAATTTAAAGAGTAGTTCAGAGGTGATGATATGAACCATTCTCACAATGGTCACTAGAGGTCAGCACTTAGCTGCTATATGTGGCATAAAAATTTAGTGGAATTGTTTTTGTCAGATTGTATTCAAGGATTAATTTTTCCCCGCCCTGGTACTTGAGACTGAACCCAAGACCTTCTCACTGAGATACATCCCCCGTCTTTTTTTATTTTTTGAGACAGGGTTTTGCTAAGTCATTATGTTGTCCAGCCTGGGCTTGAATTTGCAACCCTCCTGCCTCTGCATCCCAGTGTGCTGGGATTATAGGTGTGTGCCATCACACCTGGATAAGTATTATATATTATTATAGTATATTGCAGATCTACTACAGCCGACAGATAAAAATCGTATAAGTAGCTATCTTATGTTAATGTGATATAACTTTCTAAATCATTACTTTATTTTATCAAAGTTTCTTTGGCTTTTCTCTTAAATCAGATATTTCTTTTATCAAAAAAAGGAAAAATTTATGCATTCATTTCTTCTTCAAGGATGTTTAAAAACTATGTTTATACTCTGTGCATTAGCAAAAATTCATAACATGTTCCTGTGTGTTTGATTCTTAATTTCTTTTTGAACTTGTTCAGCAAATTTCTGGCTTAAAAAAAAGACTATGGGACACTGTATTACACAGTATTTCCAATACATTTTTTTTTTTTTTTTTTTGAGACAGGGTCTCACTGTGTAGTTCAGCCTGGCCTTGAACTCGCTATGTAGCTCAGGCTGGCCATGAATTCTAAGCAATCCTCCTGCCTCAGCTTCCAGAGTTCTGAGATTACAGGCGTGCACCACCACACCTAGTTCTTCAACACAATTTTGAAGTTGCCTGATTGGTATTTTTTTCTTGCTGTTAGAAGATTGAGTTCTTACCAAGCCTTTAATAGCAGACCCCAGCATGGCACTTTCCCCGGAGTAAACCCTGGGAAGTGTTTGAGAGGCACTGAAGACCTAAATTCACAGGGAGTGTGAGTTCTAATTTAACTGCTTTGAAGTTTTAGCTTTGGGGCAAATTATTACCCTTTGAGCCTTAATTTCCACATCTGTAAAAGGGACATAATGAAAACAACAGCGTAGGGCTGCCCAAGCATTAAACTAAATAATATGAATAAAGAAAGCCCCCCTCTGGGCCGGGGATTTAGCTCAGTGGTTCCGCCTCCCGCCCTGCAAGCACAAGGACCTGAGTTCGATTCCCGGTACCAACCCCCCCCCCCCAAAAACAAAAGAAAGAAAGTCCCTCTCACGTCATGCTGGGCGATCATTCTCATCAATGATCAGTAATAATTATTACTAGTTTTTTAAAAATTTCAACACTGTAAAATTTTAATCTTGCTTAGTTCAAGTCTTCAGTCCCCAATGATTACATTGTCGTGGACGCAACACCTCATAATTCATTTTCCTCTTGCACCACTGTCCA